GACTATGCACGTCATAAAAGCTTCTTGCTGCCATTCATCAATTCTTTTTCTTTTTTCTGTACACTGTACACTGAGCTGCAACTAAGTGCATATACCCAGCATGCCAAGATAAAGTAACTTCTGTGGGCATGTGCAGGAGTTACGTCATCAGGGTCTGACCACTAAAGCAGGCGAAGGCTTGACACCCAGAAGGAGATTAGGATTAAGATGGCTGCGCCTGCCATGGGAAAAGTGCAGCGCTGGAGGGGATCGGTTTGGCAGGTGAGTGCTTGCCATGCATGCAGTATGCTGTGCATTCTAGCACATTATGGCTAAAAGCTAAAGGCCACCCCCCTTTTTTTAAACTTTTTAGCTCTATTTCCACTTTAAGGGCCGCCACCACCACCTCACACACAGCGTACCTCCCATGCACTTAGTGTGGGAGGTGAGTTGCATGCCATTCATTTGAATGGCACCCCAAATGCACCTTCGTCCGCAATGTGATTATTGCACGCAGGTGGTGTGAACGGGCCCTCAAGCAGTTTCTTGTTTCAACCTGGGCAATGTACAAGTTCACTTTAAATGGTTTAAAACCATAAGATCTAAGCTAACAAGAGTCCCTGTTCACCCAATAGGCACAAACACAACTGAGTTCATGTTAGGTGAATGACATTTTTCTGGCAGTAACAAACACTGACAACTTGACATCCTGCACCGGTATCTATTCATGAACTGCATATGTGTGCTGTGCAAATCTATCTTACTGCGCGTGTCCCTTTATTTGTAGCTGTATAATGTAAGCAACAGGACTCCTAAGGAAAAACAACTGCTATAGAGATGGACATGAAGCAATGCTAGCTGCACAGGTTTTACTTAGCTTGGTATGTCATGAAATCAAAGAAGAACTCCGGACAAATGAAATCTTAACCCTAGCAGTGTGGCTACTCCCACACTGCAAGGGTTACGTGCTTGTTTTGTCAAGGGAGCTAAAATAACAGAGATATACTCACCTAAACCGTGATCCCAGCAGGCCCCCAGACCGGTCCCTTCAGCATCAGCTCCAGTGATGGAATGTCCCTTAGCATCCTCACGTCCAATACGATGGCTCACAGGACCTAGAAGCCAGCTAGGATCACTATTCAAGTAAGTATATCTCTGTTACTTTAGCTCCCTTGACAAAACGAGCACTTAACCCTTGCAGTGCAGGGGTAGCCCCAGAGATTTTATTTAATTTGCCCGGAGTTCTTCTTTAAAATGGCACTCCAATCAGAACTATTTGGTTTTAAGTTTTTGGCCAGCACAGGTAAGGGTTAGAAATCCTATGACAAAAGGTAAGGTCACAAGGATAGCCATGCTTTGTACTGTGGATAGTCATGAAAGCACCCGGCCTTGTTTACAAGTAAACACATCTGACTGATGGCTCATTTTCATCCCTGACACTCTGATGTTTCCATAAACTGCCATTCAATCCCCATGTTGTAATGCAACCACTGTACTATCTCTCTAATGTAATGAATGCCGCTAAGACGTGAATTTGGATGAGCTTAAGTGGACCCAAGTAACTTCATACAGGATTGAAATAGACTCAATCCAAGAGCCCAAAGCATAAAGCGCACTGGAAAGAGAAATGCCCTTGTTGACACCACCGTGAATACTGTAAAAGGAAGTATGATGAGAATGCGATGCATTTACCCTTCCCTTCTTGAAAGATACCTTGTTATGAAAGAGGGCCTGTCATGGGCATGACGCAGTAAATGGTTTATACTAAATAACACCTCATGTACAAAAAGTAGAGGAAAGCAAAATGGAAGTGCCACACTAAGAAACCAATTTAATGTCTCACTATACTAATGCAAACTAAAAATTGAAGCATTCAGTGTCATTTTCCAGCTACAGAAGCTGATGAAGCAGATCTCTGCTTCATCAGCTTCTCTGGGGGTCCCTAGGTGACATTAGGGGTCTTGGGGAGCCCTGATGTCTGCATAAAGAGGACCTGTCATGTAAATTGGCTATCACATAGTGGGCTTCTTAGCCGCCCCCATGTGAAAGAAAAAAAGTTGTGAAAAAAAAAAAAAAACCACAAAAATTAAAGAATCACAAAAAAAATTTAAAAAGAAAAAAACATTTCTTTAAAGTTCTCCGCCCCCCACATACACATGCAGATATGCGTCGGGTGCGCCTACGTGCGAAAACGACGATTGCGCCTATTGTGCCGCACATGTTACATATAACCACGAGCGTCGGAGTGTGAGCAATAATTTTAGGGCCATTAAGTACTGATCACACTAAACTGATGAGCAGTAAAAGCGTTTTAAGTGTCGCCTATGGGCAATTTTCAGTGTGGTCATTTTTTTGCGATTTTGCGGCCGCACGCAATTTTAAGGCTTGACATGTTTGGTGTCTATTTACCCGACGTGACCCCGTCTTTTATGTTTTACCAAAAATATGGGTAAGAATAGATGTTTTATAGAATAATGTAGAAATAACCCCCCCTCCCCCCAGTAGTGATTTTATATACCACCAAAAGAAAGCTCTATCTGTCCCCAAAAAATTTTAACATAAATTGCAAGGCTATAGTCCGGTCATGCTGACTGGTGACATTTTTGATTTTGATTTACTGGTGAGACAATATAAGTTAAGGGCCCTTTGGGAAATCATTATGAGATAGCTGTATAAAATGCAACCTAAAGCTGAACTCTGAGAGAAAGCAAATATTGTCTACAAATAGGAAGCATGTGTATTCTTGGTATGATTAGCGTATTTCTTCAAAATCTGTGCAGTATTCCAGTGTAAATCTTTGCCTCGGTGTAGGGACTTCCTGTAATAAAGACCAGTCACTGCTGCTCTCTTTCTAATTGTGCAGGATGACTGGTCATGTATCTGCCCCATCTTGTAGTTTTCTGCAGGCGGCTGTACAGGTTGGGTCTGGTGGGCTCCTGCCACAGCTCTGCTCTCTGTGCAGGTTATTCTGCGGCACAGTAAAGATGTCACTGCTAATTTGAGGCTAAGTTTACACCTAGGCGACTCCTGACCGCGCGGTTTTGTGCATGATTGCCGGGCAGTCAGGAAGTCGCCACAATCGCGCTGTGGGTGCTGTTTTCTTCTAATGGCACGCCAGTCATGCCGGGCGGATCGCGCGGTTTCCCGCCAAAAGCAGGACGCCGTGTGTCGCAAAAAAAATTGCTGCGCGGATGTCACCCCATTGAAATCAATGGGGGCGCACGGCAATCGCTGTGTGCACTAGCACACGATCGCTCTGCCCCGGGAGTCGTGCGGTGTAGTGCAGGTGTGAACCTAGCCTTATGTGTTAATATCTGGGTTTAAAAAATGTTTGGTGCACACAAAGTCAAATTATATCCTTTGTGGCTATTGAGAAATACGTCTAAATGAATTTTTTTGTGTCCAAGTTCAGCTTTAAAGTATACCTCTCTTAAAAAGAGAGAAAAAAAAAAAGGTTTTTTTCTAGTGGGGGAGGGATCCACCCATTATCAATTGTTTTTATTGCTGCCTGTGTGCCTGCTGGGAAAATTCACTTCTCTATTTGTACTGGTGACCATTGTAACTAAGACAAAAGCAAAAAAGGAGGGAAAGTGCAAATTTATAGTTGTCCCTAGAACATAAGGTAAGGGACAATTTTCCAATGGAGACAAGTTCTGGGGTCAGCTGTCTAAAGGTGGCCATACACTCTACAACCATCGCAAGACTTTAGTCTTGCGATGGTTGTAAAGGGATTAAAAAAACGTACGATCTGCCTATCTTGGACAGGCAGATCGCACTCTCGATCATCGCAAGCCCGCCCTCCTGAGGGGCGGGCTTCCGATGACCGCAATGCTGAACGGGCAGTGTGCGCGTGCGCACACCGGCCCGTTCAGCATTTATCTTCCGAGCACCGTTCTAACCAGCCGAGAATCGTACGATTCCCGGCTGGTTTTCGAACATGCTGGTTCGACAGAAGACGTGCGACCGTACAGTAGAAACGGTCGCACGTCTCCGTTCACACTGCTCGATTATCGTACGAAAACCCGATCGCATACGATTATCGTACGATAATCGTGCAGTGTATGGGCACCTTAAGAGGGGAATTTTGACTTTTGGAGATTTCCTCCAACTTCCTGTTACATCTCTGAAACTGGAAGCGAGGAAAATGTCCCCAATGGTACACAGATAGCAAAAATTAAACAGACAAGAAGGGGGGGGGGGGATTTTCCTTCCCTTATCCATTCAAGACTAAAAAAAGAAAAAAAAGTTTGGGCTGTACATACACTTTAAAGGCAATAAAAAAGCATTAAACTGAACATTTTAACCCTCTATAAACAAGCTATGAAGCAGGATTTAACAATTCAAATAACGCCCAGTTCCTCAGAGTCTTTTCAGAACTAGAAAAGTAAATTTGTCTCCAGCCCCTTGAACCAAAAATCAGACAGATTTAAAAAACAGATCTGCTTCCACAAACACACTGCTGCATCTGAAAGATAAGAGAAAATGGGTAGCGGTACCTTACAAGTGTGACAGCAGGAATCGCTGTACAAAGGCTCTGACAGATTCAGTCCCCATATGATCAGATCCAGTGTTCTGAGAGTAGCCATACACTTGCCAATCATTGCCTGGTCCCACCAAAATCAGATCCACCAGATGACAGGCATCTAAAGTTTATGTTTGAGTATAACGACTTTAAATGCGCTGCTGGTATTTTTATACTTGTGAAAGCTGCTGGCAAAAATATACAGAGAAACAGGGATAGCTGGAGAGTAGGCCAATGTTTCTATAATAGTAAGGTGCAGCTTGTCCATGTTGATCAGAACATCAGGGGGATCCTAATCCTGTAATGTTACTGGGTTAGGCTGAGATGTACTGGCAAGCCTTTCATGTCATTCCCTGTTCTCTCAAAGATTTCCCAGGCTTAGCTGACCTAAATAATCATCTGAAAAATAGTTCTAAGAAATGGTGACAACATGCTGAGGGTAAAGGGAAAAGTTATAAATAGAGTCTTTGTAAGGCCACAGAATTCTTTCCATGCTCACCAGCAAGTGTATAATCCATATCAAATCCGAAGCACTTGATTTTTTCCATGGCTAGACTCCTGTTCACAAAGACCCTGGAGGACAAGAAAAGAAAATTACACATGAGATGATTGGAGGAGGTGATGTGACCTTATTAACTGTCCATGGAAGCAACTGGCAGTCAGGATATTATTTCCTCCTGAGCCGATAACCGCTTCTGGTGTCACTACCTCAAAAACATAATTAGGCCATTCGCAGCACTTTGTTAGCTGCGCAAAAGGTATGTGTTCCAGGATTTACAAAACAATTATCGAGGAGCACGCGGAAAACAGAAGAACCTGTGCAAATTACATTTATGTAACAAAAAACTACATTTTAAATAAAAGGTTTCAGCTTTAGGTAAAATGGTTTACAGCAGACTCTTTTCCATCTGCTCCCATGATTTATAGTCGAATATGGAACACTCAGTGTAATGAACACAGTACAAAAAAAAATGAAGTATGACTTTGCAAATTATATGATAATTGCAGGATAAGTGTATTGTCATTTGTAGTATTCTTTAATAACACTAAACTCAGGAGTCAAGATGTAAAAATACATTCAACTACAGTAAACTCCCCGTTATCCGGCATCCACAGTGATTGGTAGATTCCGGATAAATGTAGTTTCTTGTTGCTTGAGAGTTACTATTTAAAATAGGTCTAACTAATGCCATACCACATACTATACCATAACATAATAGACTCAGTATTGACTTCATATTAATATTGAAATGCAGTAGGCAAAAGCAAATTAATACAAATAGGCACACAATAGTTTCCAGGATAACACATGGGGCAGATCAGCAGGACAGTGAGTACACAGGGGATTTTTTTTCTGGTTAGACGAGACTTCTGGTTAGTTGAATACCAGATAACGGAGAGTTTACTGCATTAACAAAAATGTATCTTATTTGTGTATCACTCGGCTGTAGATCCTCAAATCATCTGTGAATTGGTGCTGACACTGTCCTTCCTTCTGGAGGGTGGCTACTTTTGTTGCCCATGGTCCGTATGTGTTGTAAAGTAGTCACCGCTCCAAGCTCACTCCTGTGATGGACTACAATAGAAATGAGTAAACTAAACGTGAGATTGTAGTCCATCACGAGAGTGACCTTGGAGCGGTGACAACTTTATAAACACACATAGGGACCGTGGGAAACAAATGTAGCCCCCCTCCAGAAGGAAGGACAGCGTCAGTATGAATTCAGAGATGATTTGAGACTCTACAGCCGAGTGATACACAAATAAGATATATTTTTCTTAATAGTTAAAAAGGTACTTGAATGTATTTTTAAGTTTGACTGCTGAGTTTAGTGTCACTTTAAAGTTATTCTTTAGAAATAAAACATTTAAAGCGTATGTCCAGCCTAACTCACTAGTTTTGGATAGAGCAAGGTAAGTTTGAACATCTGATGGCTTTCTACAGCTATCCGGGACTCCATTAGAAGGATTTCCCTCAATTTCTGTCCCAATGACAACAGTTTTCCCAAGCAGGAAGAAAAAAATCTGCAACGAATAAAAAACACAAAAAAATACATTTTCGACAGTGTTGCTGTTGAAAATGTATCTTTACATTCTGTATGGACATGAAGTGAGCTGCACACGGGCATAATAAAATACTGATATCTACATAGGATCTTCCAGTCAGAAAGTTGGTATGCAATGGTCCAAAAGGTGCATCCGTTTACATCCATTTAAAGTTTATTTACAGAGCTGAACGCAGCACAAGATTACTAACAAAACCTAGCTGTGTGCATGAGCCAAAAATATACAATACTGCTGCATTCAGATTTGTAAATTCTATATGCTGTAGAGATCTGAATGCAGCGTTAATAAGTGCATGAGCCTTAAGGGAGCCCAGGAAAGCGGAAAAAAACTAGGGATGCACCAATACTGATACCCTGGTAAGACCCTGCATGCAGCCCTGGTGAGACCGGAATGCAACCCTGGTCAGACCCCGCACAGCCTCCTGGGATGCCGCATAGCCCTGGTGAGCAACAGAGTATGTAGCTTCATATTAATCTGCATTGCTGTTTAATGTATTGCTGGGATTTATAGTCCTTGATTGCTGTGGTATTCTGCATTGCTATATAATGTATTGCTGGGATTTGTAGCCCTCTATAGCTGGTGGTATTCTGCATTGCTGTATAATGTATTGCTGATATTTGTAGTACCTCTACAGCCTGGAGTATGCAGCCAATGAATGTGATACGTTGGACCTCCTGGCCTACACATTTGTTCCAGTGACTCACCATAACTAGTAGCTTGTCAGTATAGTATACAGTAAAGATAATTAAAAAAATAATTAAAAAAGGTCCAACTCCTTGTTGACTTTATATTCTAAATGTTGACACAGGTGTGCCAGCCAGTGTCTATGAAATGCATAGGATATGTGTAAAATAGTGTGAATGTGCTTAGGGAAAAGGGTACTATAGGTGTCTTCATTGGTGACCAGAACTGACTGTTATTAAAACTAAAATGAGTATTTTATTCTATAACCTAAGCCAAACACAAAACATACTTTCATCAAATAAAATCCATGCTTTCAATTCACCAGAGAAATGACCACTTGGTTAAAATGCAGCCAGAGTGTGTTTTTATAGCAAGAAAACCGATAACGAAGAAAGAGAACGGCTTTGATGACACAGGGGACTCTACAAGCTTTCCATAACAGCAACTGCAGATATCTGATTTGTAATAGATATCACAGGCACGTCTGGCACAAAGGGTAAATAGGTGCGAGATGATGCAAGCTCTTCATTCTCAATTGCTCCAATGCAAGCTAAATAAAACACTGCAAACATTTGCCAACATAACAAAAGAAGAAAGATGACGGGGTAAGTTTAAGCAGCCAATGAATATCAGATTAGGCTATGCAGAACCCATCAGTTAAGATTTCTATAGAATCAGATATAATATATTAATTGCCCTAGCACGATTACATGGTACCTAGTGCTTTGTTATGCATGTTACTCCAAATTCAAATAGCGCCCCTGTGTGGTCATTGGCTGCTATGTGTTAACTAATTTGCTGGTGAAGTTACACCTCTCTTCATGTCTAAATCTGTCCAAGGAGAGAGGATTCAACACCTGGCATGCAATATTCCAGAGGCAATACAGGAGGTTCTCCAAGTTATGTCACGATTTGCTGCCGACCACTGACAGTACATAGCCAGTACTAAGGTTCAGTCAACCTCATTGAGAGCTGGCCATATACTGGTTCTGAGCAGTGAAGCTGGGGGTATTCGAGTGAGATAACTGCCCTCAGTATATATTTATTACAGGTATTTATATAGCGCCAACAAATTTATGCAGCACTTTACATACAACACATTCACATGAGCGACAAAGAGCTTATAATATAAGGTCGCTGTCTCACACATGCATACATACAGGGTCAGTTTAGACATGAGCTAATTAACCTTCCAGCATGTTTTTGGAGTGTGGGAGGAAACTGGAGGCAACCCATGAAAGCACAGGGAGAACATGCAAACACCTTGCAGATAGTGTCCTGTCCAGAATTCGAACCAGGAACCCTCAGTGCTGCAAGGCAGAAGTGCTAACCACTGTGGTGCCCCGTAAGTATGCTTTTAAACCAGGGACAGAGGGAGATACAGACTTTAGTCACCAGCAGCGCAAATTGATGCTGTACAACAACATAGGGCGTCAACTTTTCAATTTGTGCTACATGGTTTATTCATAGTGATTGCCAACCGTATGATTAGCTCGTTGGTTTATAATTGAACTCAAGCCTTACTTGACTGCACGCTGTGAGACTCTCATGGCATGAAATAGATGCTGCAGCAAGTCAGATAAAGCCGCCTCATTTCCAGGCTGAAGGACATGCAAGATGATCTAACCCCTTTCCCCCCAACCTGACAGTCACTGGCCGACCCATTTCATTAATTCCATTTTACCTAATTTAATCATGGAGACTCAGTGACACACATGGATATTACCAAGGATAGCCAGCATGCCTAGGAACACCCACCCTTCAAAGCTGACAACCAACCATCAAGGCATTTTGAAATTTGCATAACTCCTCCGAAAAGAATGAACACTGTTCTGACGAGTACTGCGGCAGAGTGCTGTGATGTTTTTAGAAAACTATGTACAGCACTCTGCCGGGCCATCCCACCAGCCATGATCTGCCTGCATTACGTAGAGTCATAGACATCCCAGCCAATGGAATCGTTGATCACCTTCTGAATTTCAGGTATTGGGGAACAGCAATCTGATATCCATGGATACCAAAAAAGTGGATTCCCACTTTTGCAGCCAAATTTGGACAACACCTACTTTACATTTGTTCCATGTTCACATTCACATAGCATAATTTAAAAAAAAAATATTTAACAATTGCTGCTTATCTTTTTACTTGCTATTTTCTGAAAACTTCAAAACTGACAGTTTCTCGTTCTATGCAACATTAAGGAGTTGGCTGGGGAGTTCATGTTTACTATAATTAACCCTTTCTGTACTGTGTTGGCAGATCTCATTATAAGATGTAAACTAGATTTGGACACTGACTGTCCTAACAAAGGGTTAAAGGAGAATTATGAGGTGAGTGATTTTCACTCAGCCTCATAATCTGAGCCGACCTGTGACAATGAAAAACGGGATCAGGAAGTGAGCGAACACATACCGGCGCTCGCTCACTTCTCGATCCTGTGCCGGCAGAGAGCCGTGACAGGGGTGGGACTGGATTCCCCCCTTCCCTGTCCGTTCCCCAGCGGTGACTGGCGGAACGGATGGGGCGGGTACAGCTGGCTCTGCCTCTGGATTATGTCCTCCCGTTACCCTTAGGAGAACTATAGGGAAAAGCCCTAAACCCATAGTTCTCCTTTAAAGATCCAAGGCTTGGATGGAGCATTGTATGTTAATCCACTTTCCTTCAGTATGTCCCCAGTTTGGCCGTTCACTATCACTTTGAAATTGTACAAAGTAGCTTGCAGTCTTCCCAAAGAAAAAAACTAGAAAAGGAAAGAAAATATTTGTAATTGTTTAGGTATGCTGTGAATGGGAACACCTAACCAACATTTGGTGGGGGTTCCTCAAATTTGACTTCATTTAATCACACTTTAACTCATCCATGTACCTGTCTCTGTAATGCTATTTCATAATATGTTCTGCTTTAAAAAGGTTAACGGGGTCATTTGTTTACCGAGGAGGAAATTAGCATTTTGTTCTGACTTATTACATTCTAGACTTGATGGTCGATTCACATGGATTACACAGTAATTTGTTTTGGTGTTGTAAACAGAGATGTTATCTGAAAATATGGGTAAATTATACAGGTTTATAGCTGCAGTTGCCTTGCATCCAATGAAGTCACCATGGACATTATGTTATGAAGCACCCTTGCTATGTATCCAAAAGGAGTGTAAATATTCATGCTTTAATGAAAATATTATTAGAATGTCATCTTTCACATATATAAATGTGATAATGTAGTCTGCCTGTGGTCAGCAGCAAATTACATTGTAAAACTGCAGCATGTCCTGCACTGCCTCAGAAAAGATGCTGTAACTTGAACATCTTCCACTAACAGTTTTATACTGCAATGCACCAACAGGGTATCAACTGCAACAGGGTCTATGGCATCTGAGGAGAAGAGGAAGCACTGACCCCGATTAATAAAAATGTTGCCTCTTGCCCCTAAAAAGGGAGGCAATATTATAATAATGTAAATTAACCAAAAACCACAGTTTGTTTTATTGTGTGAAGCATTTAAGGCAAACCTTTAGCATATAAATATGTACAGGGGTACAAGGGACAAATGCTCCCCGTCAGGGCTTTTGTTTTTTATCCTTAAGCCCACCAGTTCATCCTGAAATTTAACATTTCCAAAATGGCAGGTTTGGAAATTTTGAAGTTTGGAAAGCACTCTGCGCTGAGCCCAATGGCTGAAGGCCATTCAAGGCTATCCCCCCACATCCAGCACAGTGGGTTCTTGACTCTACTTCAAAAGCACGGCTGAGAGCAACCATGACGAAAAGCTGCAATCAAAGAGACAAATCTCCAGCCACAATATAGAGAACAGCCTTGATTGAAGAGAAAATCGAATAAAAGGGGCTGGCAAAAAGTCAGTTAGGTGTAGTACAACAGAGCTGTAGAAAACATGTCCATCCTCTTGGAACACTAGCAAAACACTGAGGCATGCTGGTAGTGGGAGGAGTTATCCTGGGCTGGTTATTTTTTTTACTTGCCAGTGTCAAATGGTCCTTTAGGCAGCAGTATACCTGAAGGATAAACACTTCCTGTGTCCCTCAATGGACGAGAAAGAAATAATGGTTTTGGGTCATTTTACTTTAATTTAATTGTTTTAGGTTTATAGGTTCTTATACTGCTTTTTTTCTGTTTTTCTTTATTATTTATAAATAAATAAAATGTGGAAATGACCAAAAAAACAAAAAAAAAAGATTTGTACAAAAGGCATTGACAGCAGGCAGAGAGCAGCCCAAAAACATCCTTTAAGTCATTCAAGCACTGATTAAGTTTAGGAAGTTTCTATATATGAATCACAGTGCATTAAGGACAATTTCACAAAGGATTTAAGTTGCACAAACTACTAATTTACATATTTAGGAGGATAAAAGTCACAAATACTATTCTAATGATTACACGACACACACACACACACACACATTCCAGTACCAGTAAGTAATGCTACACAATAAGCGTTAATTGCATTCAGAACACACCTTATTTATTTCCCTGTGTACATACTGGAAGTTTTCTACTGTGAATTTAAAGCTATTGTTCTACTCTTAGCAAAAGTGTTAAGTCCCAAATAAAATGTCACAGTCAACTGCTCAGGCCCCTATTTACATTTTTCTGTTTGATTATATTGGAAATTGCATGCTACCATAATAGTAAAGCGACACCGGGGAATCTACACAAGGCTGGAGGCTTCCCTAAAAGGACTTCCTCTAAGGTCAGCCAACTGCGGGATTCAGCTGCAAGTCCAATGTGGTATGTGTTCATAAAGGCATAAAACTCAAAGCTGAGCGCTATAAAAAGGTCTTGCTCACTTTTCTACCGTATAATTTAACAGTTCTTATCACCATGAAGGCAACTAATTTAATTTTTATATGTTCCTTCCTGCTTTTTTCATAGCTTCCGCACTAATGAATTTAGCTTAATGGTTGAGAAGTCAAAACTAAAATAAAAATAAAAAACAGCCTAGCTAAAACTTAGCAAAGAACTTGAACATATAGGTCATCACTCAAACATCAAAAAATTTAGAACGTTTCAATTAAACTGATCACATTTTAATGTATTTTGTGTGATTTGGGGAAATGTGTACACTATTACAAAAGTGATATCGTTAAATTACATAAGATCTTTGGAGCTGGTCTGTGTCCAATTAAGCAAACATGATGGAACGTAAAAAAGTGTGCGACAAGTCAGCGATATGGAATTGGAAGGTCAAGAACAAAATAAACAACTAGCTTATGTCTGTTTCATAAATACGTTACTTATCATATAAAATATATTATTGGTAAACAATAAAAACATTTATAGTAAAGAAACAAAAAAAAGGAACCTCTCCTTATCTTTTTCCCTTGTGAAACCCATCCGGCAGTAAAGCACATTGAGAAGACTTTACACCCCTCAGTGTGTCAGAGGCAAGAACTGTCTTCTGTGTTGCCTTACACCAAGCAATCAAATTCAAACCTACAATGAAAACTGACTGTTGGGAAATGGAAGCCTGTATCGGTCTGGCTGCCATGAGCCAATTAAGATTTTCTGAAACAAAACTTTCCTGTGATCTTCTTTGCTCCCAAAAAGGCCAAAACAAGAATTGGATAAAAAAAGATCAAGATAAAATCAGAACAGAAATCCATGGCCACTAAGATGGTGCATTTAAATTTCCAAACCGTTACAAAATGAGGCAGCATTGCCGATTAATATTCTATATGCCAAGTTAAAAAAAATATCAAATACACAAATGTCTGTCGGGTATGAAAAATCACTACCACAGTCATGGATGATGATAAAGAAGGTGGGCATAACAGTATGAGGCACAATACCTGTGTGCTGCATCATGACCACTGTAGTCCACGTACATGGATGGTGGCTGTTCCATGTTAGGTAAAAAGAATGGCATATTAATTCACTATCCTCTCTGGAGATGACACTTGATGGGGTCGATGTGATGTGATACATCAGTAGAACCAGGCACAGATCAAGGTGTTCAATATCATCATACAAATGATGGCTCTTATAGCAGTGAAGAACAACAACATGTTTTATGGATCGGACAGCTCAGCATGTCAAAAATGTAGGTGGAGTTTTTGAACCACTTGATGTCAGTGCAAACCTATTACTCATTGTTTCATTACATGTGTGTGAAGCCATTTACTATGCTCCCAAAAATTACAGATCAAGGAAACTACGAAGGTAATTTTTAACTTCCATCCCGGGACCAGGATTCTTGTGAAATATGTAAACAGTCTGATTTTTGTATAGTAATATATGAATAAATCACAGATTGTAGAGGAAATAGACTTTTCTGTAGAGATTTCCTCTCTCCAGGCCAGAAAGAAAAGAGGAATCTCCATAACAGGACAACAACAACAACAACAATAACAACAATAACCTGACAGGGGTTTTAACCCTTTGTAACGTAATACAAAACTAAAAAAAAAAGTTGTGGCTATGCATACACTTTAAGAATTCCACTTGAAGATACTAGTACAGATAAACATACCATAGCCACTGCAGGCACAACAGATGCTCCAGAACACCATTATTATATTAGGACACAGACTGCAATGCCCACGGCCAACAGATCGACCAACAGATCTAACTCTACAAACGCCCTAAAGAAAGAGGTACCCTAATCCCCCAAAATGCATTGGCTATGGTTTAAGTCAGTGGTTCTCAAGCTGTGTAACTTCCGGACCCACATTTGTCCTCCGTCATTAAGTCGTGACCCAAGCTGCTATGGAATGGAACACATGGCATTGTGGTACCACACTTTCCGCTGTTGGCAATAGAACTATGGCTGGGAGATGCGTTTGGGGTGCCATTCAAATAAATGGCAATGCACCTCTTACACTAGAACGCGTGGTAGGTGTGATTGTGTAGTACAGTGTGTTAATTGCACGGAACTGTGCAATTAACGCACTGTACTAGTGTGAATGGGTCCTCAAAAAACACCAACAGACACACACACACACACGCACTGCAATTTTTAAATCCATCCAGTCTGCCTATCTTAAGAGAACTGTAGTGGATCCTCAGGTTGGGGTCCAGTGTGGGCTGCTGTGCTGTTATGGAGCTCCATCCATATGTGCATTGCTTGTACAGCTTCCTTGCACACCCTGTAAAGGTGCCGGGAGCCAGAATGTTACACCACCCTGATCCAGGCACCTCTACAGGGCACACGAGGGAGCGGTAAGCAATCCACATATGGATGAAGCTAATTCGCGTCCATACCCCCAGCCCGCCCCAGCTTACACTCGGCACTGGGCAGCATATTTTGAACGGCTGCTTGGAGCGAGAACTGACAGTACTAGGGGAAGGCTGAGGAACCTCCCACCTAGAACAGTGGAAGGCATGCGAGGACCCACTGAACACGGGGTCGCGACCCAGTTTTGTGTCACGACCCACCAGTTGAGAACCAAGGGTTTAAGCCATACCCTAACAAAGTGGTAATTGTTCAACAATTTGGAGTTTCCAAGACTTTATTTTATTGCGACGCTCATTACCTAGTACTCTCAGTCTTCATATTGTAAGTCCAGCAAGCTAAGCTTTGACATGCCTTACCTGTGATAAGCTTCACGCCGATATTTTTTCAGTGCATGGCGATCCATATTTGCAGGAATGTCTGCCGCATTTTGGAGACGATCACTCCATGATGTCGTCATTTTTAAGCCAGGTGCTCGGTTCTAAGAAAAACAAGAAAACTACTGTTACAACTGGTTGCAAAATAAACAGATGATGCACAAATCAACAAAAAAATCTGCATTATTCATCTAAACTCAAAACAGACCCAGGGATGGAACTCGAGCTCCAATTGAACCCTCTCTGGAGCCATTCATTAGGAGGAAGGGGTGAGGCCAAGGATCTGCAATGCTCCAAAGGGTTTTGTGAAGGCACAAGCACAAACTTTGTACATGCTTCAGACATGCAATGTCCTATTGTGCACTCTATAATTAAGTCTATCTTCTTCATCCACTTAAGTTTATTCTTATTTCATGTAAAGCCTGCTAAATCAGATGCCAGCTTATATGTGTCACTAGTTGAAAGTGAATGGATACTCTTTATTTTGTGCCCCCTCAAATAAATAGTTCCAACGAGTGCAGACAATACTAGACATAAAGATGAAGCAACACTGTAATCTGCAAAAACACCACCACACCTAACAAAGTAATGAGAATGATCAACAGAAAGGGCATTTGTAATTCCTGAAAAGTACAAATTGGTTTTACCACAAAGAGTCTATGTTGAAGACATTACATTTTTTCAAGCTTGTACAATTTGGCAGTCCACAAAGCGGTAATAATGTTTTAAGTGCAGAATCCCATAACAACCATTTAAATTTGTTACAAAACTGAATACTTCTTGTGGCTGTTATGGGTTGCTAAATGTCCTCGCTATTCTAAGCGCTTTCTCATCGAATAAGACAATTTAATGCAGAAGCACTTTGCACAAACATCTTGCTCTTCAAATAATGAAGAGACATGGTTTTATAAATGCAAGCATTCTTATCGCATTAAAGTCCTGGCTTTCTACTTTGCATATGTAAATGTCAAATATAAATATAAGGGATCACATTCTTTTCTTGCCACAGACTTATATTCAGGTCTGCAGGTAAAACTTCCAGTCTATCCAATGTTTTTGAGGTGCATTAGTTTTCATATACAGTATTATAATAGTTTCTAAGTGTAGGGGAGAGCAAAGTGTGCCGTTGCTTGGAATGTAGAATGCCGTGACTGTGTACGTGACAAGGACAGTAAAAGCTCATAAATTAGTTTAGAGAAAGAAGTTGTCAGACATCTTCTGAATGAGCTCATAAACTATTTTGAAGCAAAGAAAAAAATATTAGGAGTCTTCCCAAAATCTTGGGTGGATGTATATGGACCGATGTGTTTAGTATAGATCAATCTGAATCTGTTTTATGTTTCAGATTTTTGACACGGGCTTGGGAATATGGAACAATGCTCCATTCTACAGTGAAATACAAAAGTTCCCTAACACTGAGATCTCTATTAAACACTAGGTCTACATTTGACACTTTTTATATTGCAGTGTAACCCTTCAGCACTTCCTTGTAAATTCTTCTCTGAATATTTTTAGCATTTATTGCATATTGTGAAGAATACAAGGATAAATTTTGCCGCAACCTCCTGATATCTGTTAGGTTATAAAAGATTACATAAAACAAAATATAGAGGCAGAACAAGTAACACTAAAGTGGCAGTTAGGGTCCCCGTAAACATGAGAAGACCATTTCTGGATGAGGTGGCAATCTTAGGTCAATGGGTTCCCTGCAAACAGAAGTAGAAATCAGCTATTGATAAAAAAGCAGGTTAAGAAACCCCATCTGATTTGTGTTATTTCCCCTAATAACAGGACGAGGGATGTGTCTTCTATAGGGTGCAGCTATGAGAACAAGGCCTAAAATACAATTACTGTGCAACGAGATAAAGGAAAAATGACCGGGTGAATATAATCACTATAGCAAACTGTCCTGATTTATATACAGATTTACAAAGTATATAGATCATAAATATATAAAAGCTCAAACCAGTAAAAGCCATTTTAAATATGTAAAAATTAAAGTCCTCCCTCTAAAAGCGTGTATTACGGTTTTATGCTTTTCTCTTCATCAGCCGGAAAACCCTTCTCTGTGTGCTATTATGATATCACCTTATTTTGTTTTATAGAAGCCCAACTTTCCTGAATTCTAAGCTAAGCCCCGTCTGCCGGTCCACATCCTGTCAATCAAAAGCACCTAATTGGCCATAAAGGAAATGCAGGACATTTTTTATTAACCTTTGCAGTGGGGCTATGCTGCACTGCAAGGGTTAAGTGCTCATTTTCGGCTCTAAAATAATAAAGTTATACTCACCCGAACCTTAGATCCGGCCTGCTGTCACATGGCTCCCTCCAGCCTCTCTCCTCCTATGCTGCAGCAAAAGGTATCTCCCTCGGCGTCCTCACGTCCTACAAACTATCATCTATTATGGTATCTCTGTTGCCATGTAGCCACTCTATGTGTATCCACTAGGTGTGCGTGATTAACTTTTTAAATACATTGATGAGCTGGTCTGGGCCGTTTAATAACAAACTTGCAGTAAATCTACCTCATAAAACCTCCTACAGTTTACAATAACATGCAGCGTGCAGCAAGCACGTTGGAAACTTTCCCGCTAGTTCAGACTACCACTTGCAGCAATTGTGTGGGCTTTTATCATTATTAAATAACATTCACCATTGCATGAACAACATCAAAAATAATTGTATTTCCTGCACAAAAAAAGTCTTCAGAGAATGCAGTATCTGAACAGAAGTGCAGCCCAACTATAGAATACTGCGTTCACTGAATAGTTCGATCTAATAAAGCATATGTCTAGGCAAAACTAGCAGTGTGGAAAGGTTTTACCGCTATCCAGGCCAATGTTTTTTCTCATTCTGGTAGCAACCATTTCACCAGACAGGAAGTAAACAAAAATCACAGCGACACAGACAACACAACGCAGCATAGGGAAAGTTAGAGTCCATATTAGCGTTTTGTTAATATAGATTTTAT